ATATTGTGATACACTTTATTTAGCCTTAAAATATACTGGTATTTAGTGCAATAGTGTTAATGAAAAATAGTTCATATAATACATATAATTTTGATTTTGTATGTGACATAGTTTATATAATACTATATACTGTATATTTTTCATTTATATAATTTATATAAGATGTTTCATTTTCATTACTGCATTAATACTTAAGAAAGGATTTTTTGACTAATTTATTAAATTATAATGTAGTAATGGCAGAACATCCTGTATAAGTTATTAAGACAGTACCTGACAAGCAATTAATTTTTAATTAATTGAATCTTTAAAAATTATTTTTATGATAAACATTAAAAATAATTTTTACATAATATAAAGCGTTTACCATTTACTGCATTACTACATATTCTTTCGCATATTCATAAACGAATTATCAAACATGCGGTAATATTGATGTTTTATTTAACACTTCTTCTTTTCCTCCTTTTGTTACTTTCGTCATTGAAAATTCCTGAGATTGTTGTATATTACTTTTGCGTAAAATTCTAATTTTTTAATATTTTTATAGAATATTAACAAAAAATGAATGAGATAAAAAACAGTAAAAAAAAAGCGAAAGAGGGAGAAGAAAACAGAATAAAGTGAGTGCGCAATTATTTAACTCCTTCATTTCCAAATTATTTAACTCTATAGCATCTGCGGTAACCCAGTGGTAACCGTGAGTTTAAAAGCCCGCAAAGTTGTTGCTGTCAGTATGTTTTGATTTTTTCTCCATGAGAATATTAGTTCTACTCAAAACAAAGTTGATCCATAGCCGAAAAATCAGTGTATTCACGTCAGAAATTTTATTCGGAGTCGGTGCCTCGTGGTCTAATCTGCAAAACCTAATCGTACGAAGAAAATTGTATGAAGAAAAATACTATAAATAAAAGGTGAGTCGTAATTTTTTGTCAAAATTATTATTAATATATCTATTTCAATGTTAAATAAATAGTATAAACCAATTATTTATCAACTTCACGATCCGTACGCTTTCTGGCACTTCTCTCTGAGTCCCGACGTTAATCTACTTTAAAATTACGTACAATATTGATGCAGAACCTTGTCTAGTGGTATTTTTGTCATTAAAGTGACAAATAACTCAAAAATATAAGTATCAGAATTTACCTACAGCGATTTCATAATTCAGATCTTATAGCTACAGAAAAATATTTCAGCGGATGACTGCAGTTTACGGTTGACAATCTTTGTGTCAAATACTGTACATATGCTGTGATACGAGTTGCTAAACTGATATATTATTATTTTTAATAATCGCCACTACCTTTTGAAAGTGGATAAAATTTCAATAAGAACGAGCAAGCGGCTTGGAAATAATTTTAACACACATTTATCATACAACTAGTAAATAAACGGCGTGGAGGTCATTTTCATTAATTAAATGAACACTATTATATGGACACTATTATACTATTTCTTATTGAGACACTTAACTCTTTGCGGTCAATGTCCAAAATATTCCCAGTAAATCACATTTTAATCGTAGGCCGAGATATTTCCGGTACATACGGAGTTTGTTTCGGCAGCGCAGCACAATGCAGCTTCCCAGGAAGAAATACAGTTTGAAGAAACATCTATTGATGTCTATTAGACATTTCTTTGACTTGTATTTCTCCCTGGATTATCTTATCGTAAGCAGCAGAATGTAGCTTATCTTATTGTAAGCAGCACAATGCAGCTTATCTATACTGCACACACGTTTATACGTTGTATATATAACAAATGAACATAAATCTTAAACTCTTAAGTTAAACCTTAGACGCTTCATCTATAGTGTAAGTGAGAGGTGTATGAGTGAAAATTAATAATTTCAGCCAACAGGATATGCCAAAAAATATCACGACTGCAAAGAGTTAATTTCTTATAGAGAGTTTAACAAAATATCCGCGTCTGCGTTTAAAAGAACACGTGAGTTCTAATCATTAAATAACAATTGTTTATGGTTGATATATTAATTTTTTAATATATTGATCAAACCGATTTTAATCTGGGAAACCGATCACTTGATTTTTATTCTTCTCAACACGATTTTTTTCTCATCTTAATATTTAAAAGTATAAAGACGAGAATACAAATTGTTATTTGCATGTAGTGGTATTATATCACATATTTCAATATGTGGTAAACTGTGTGCAATGATTTCCCTATCTTGCTTATATTATAGTTTATAACAGTACTCGGAATTAGTTAAGCATTTCCGCCGATTATGATTGACGCCTTCGTTTTTTCTCTTTATTGCACATGTTGTAATCCCTAGGGCCACGATTTGGGTAGATAAGCGATAAGGTGTTTATCACACAGCAACGAAAAACAACACGTGAGCAGCGAGCGGATAGAAAGGGCGTGTGAGGCTGGATCTCTGTATCTGAGCTGCCCGATTTATACACTGGAATTATATTACTATTATATATATAATTATATATAATATAATAATAAATTACTATTATATATTATATATAATATTTAAATTATAAAAGAAATTTTCTCCTTTTATTACAATATTTCCTTCTTCATATTGGCAATTCTATCGACAAGTTTTAACGATCAATTAGCGAAAAAGCAGGTAGTGAAAAAAGTAGCCCTTATTGAAACCCTTACAGCGATGCCGGTTTTCTCCTTCAAAGATCAACACACAATTAAACACTACTACCGTCACGTGTCCAGATATACATTCTGAATGCACATCAATTGCTCCGCAGTTGTTCTTTCGGAAAAACTGACATCACTGCTAAGGTTGCCCTTAGTGAAGGCCCTCAGTCTATATCGAGTCAGCTAACAAGTAACAACTCTGCAACTTCGTTGAAGATAGTGTTCAAGCTTCTATCAACCATCCGACGAATAATTAATTGTAGTTGACAATTTTTAAAAATATATTGTGATCATAGTTTTGCAAATTAGATGAGCATAATTCTTTTATGTCGTTTTACTAACCCATTGCTCACAATTTTCTAATTAATATATTAATAGTTCACAATTGAAATAAACCTACCAGATCTATTAAAAACATCGGAGCGAAACATGTGTATTACAAATAGATCGAAATAATATTATTAAGCATCATTTATCATCATTGTTTTTTACTAGAGAAAGAAATTTAAAAACGGGGCGTAGCTCGTAAAGATTTGCTACGTGTCTAGTATAATACAAGGTGAGTAAATAGTGTGAGTTTTATTTTTACGAATTTATTTATGCGTCAAACACAAAAAACACATGCACGCCCATCGTGACTTAAAATAAATAATTTATTATAATTAATTATTCTTATAATTAGCAAGTAAAAAAATGCGTCTTTAAAGTAGTTCCTACGATTTCTCAATTATTTAGAATTTATTTGAAATTCTAAGAAATAAATCTATGCAATGTTAGAGAGACAATATCTCAAATGTTTTCCGAATTTCTTTTCCATGTAGTTATTAATCATTCTTATTCACAGGTTAATCAGACAAATATGAGTACCCGTCATAAGATATGCCTAGTGATTCTATGCATTGCTATGACATGCGTTTTTGCTCAATATCCAACAAACAAGTGCCATCAGAATTTAAATGACGATCAAGTGGTTCTAATTAATTGTACAATACATAATAATAATTCTGTTTTCAATATATATATTAGCCAAGAAAATGATATAACAGTACGTAATTATTAAATCATGAGCGTTTCATATTGATGTATTCACATATCGCACAGCTGCAAGAAAAGTGTCAAAAATATCAAATTGTCAGAAAAGAGGAAAGACGGAATTGCGTTAATAATAACGTTTCCTATTAATAATATTATTAATTGGTTTTCAAATTCTGTCGCAACTTATAAATCGTCTGAAGCAAATTTGGTTTTACGGGAAATAATTTCACAAATATATCTATACTTTACGTTAAACAATAATTTTAAAATTAATTATTTATGTTAAACATAGCGGACTCATATGGAAAATATTTGAATTCAACTTCTATCACTTTTCCTGATTGAAGGAATATATTTAGAACACAATTCTCACATAAAACAAAATTCGAAAAATTTTGACTTGTGTCACTTTTCTTGCGGATGTGCGATGTATAATTTAAAAACTTTCTGTATTCACAATTAATATTACTACAAAAATCTAAATCAAAAGCTATAAAATTAAAAGCAACAGATTCTATGTTATATTATAAAATTCAATAATATTATATATAAGACATCGAACATTAAGAAACATTAAATTTTTCATAATTGCGATTGTTCCTTATTAAATTTATATAAAAAATGTTTTCTCACATAGATCAACCATTTCAACTGTATCAACTCATCGGGCTTGTCAGATTTGAATCCAGACGTATGGGAAAATATTACGCATAACATTTCATGGCCGTTTTACGAAGCCATACAGTTCGACGACTGCAATTTACCTGAGAACGTTAAATTGATTGACGTTGTGCAAATGCTAAGAGCTATAGAATCAAACATTCATATATTAATTCTTCAATCGCACAAAAACTTGAGCTTGACTTTGAATAAGTATCACCTAAATGGTTTTACAAATTTAGAAAAGCTGGAAATAGAGAATTACAAGACATTCCATGTGGAGAGCGATTTGTTAGCTAATTTGAAAAAATTGCAAACCCTTTCCCTATCCAGCTTAGAACATTTGGCCGATGAATTTTTTGATTATACCCCCAATTTAAGAACACTCAATTTGAACAATAATCATTTGAAATTGATAAAACCAAGCACATTTAATAAGCTGAAAAATTTAATATATCTGAGTCTACAAAATAATAGTTTATACAAGCTTCAATTGGGTTTTTTCGACAAACTTGTCGCTCTGAAAAACCTCGATGTTTCAGAGAATTTTTTAACCGAGCTTCCACCGGGTATTTTCGATAAACTTGTCGCTCTGGAGACCCTCGATGTTTCAGAGAATTCTTTAACCGAGCTTCCACCGGGTATTTTCGATAAACTTGTCGCTCTAAAGACCCTCGATGTTTCAAAGAATTATTTAACCAAGCTTTCATTGGGTATTTTCGACAAACTTGTCGCTCTGAAAAACCTCGATGTTTCAGAGAATTCTTTAACCGAGCTTCCACCCGATATTTTCGATAAACTTGTCGCTCTGGAGACCCTCGATATTTCAATAAATAATTTATTTAATTTATTCGGTTTAGACAATGTATTCAATTTAAACAGTATATTCGGAAAGCTGAAAAACCTTAATACACTTAATTTAAATAAGAACTATTTTACATATTTGGAAAAAGATCTTCTACGATATAATACAAAATTATTACGCGTTGACTTAAGTTACAACCAGAGACATTTGACTTTATTAGATGAATTTAGCAATTTAACGAAATTGGACACTGTGATACTGACGAATAATGGACTAGTGACATTACCGGAAAATCTCTTTAGGGGATCAATTAGACTGACTACGATTATATTGAGTAACAATTACCTCCAAACTTTGCCCGTAAATCTATTCTGGGATTTGGAAGAGTTAACAACATTGAATCTGGATTCTAATCATCTAGAAGTTTTGCCTGATGATATTTTCTCAAATATCAAGGGTTTAAAATATTTGATTTTATCAAATAATCGCATTACTTCTGTTCCCGAGTATGTTTAAATCGCTTTTATTATATGATTAATAATAATTGCTTATATGTTTCATAATTTTATTAATATAGAAGTCGTTTTCTTTATATTACAGACGACTATTTAAAACATTACGGCGGTTGGAAGAATTAAATATGGAACGAAATCATTTAAAAATTATTTCCAACTACAATTTTCGTTATGTCAGAAATTTAAAGACTATCAAATTGTCTCACAACTTTCTTACATTAGAATCTAATGGCTTATATGTCAGTTCACCTTTCTACAATTGCGACTCGCTGACAGAACTATATTTAGCTAACAATAGCATTTCGAAAATATTTGACGATTGGATTAACTCCAAGAAGCTTCGTAGATTGGATCTCAGTTATAACAACATATCTTCTATACAAGTAAGTATTTGGAATAGCACTTCGGAAAGTAATATATACAGGGTGTTCCAAAGATAAACAATCAAACTTTGCCAGTATGATCTATGAGTAGAAATAAGAAAATAATATTGTATAAAAATAGGTTTAGAAATGTTTTATTATCACGTTAATTGAAAAAAAAAGAAGTTTGTTGGCACTCTTCTATTAGAGAATCTCCGTTGATATTCTCTTGCGGTAACTCGAGAATTTTTTGAGACTGATACAAATTTGCTCATTTATCGAAACTGATTACCATCAATGATTTCAAATAATAAACATAGCTGCAATAAACTTGTTAAAAACATCGCCGATCTACTCTCACATCGTAATGTATTAACAGCAAATCCGTTATTCATGTTTGATATCTTATATCATTTTAATAAAACGGACCTATGTTTATATAACATTTTATTTTATATTCTTTTATATGTATATGACGATACTTTCTTTTCTAGGTAGAAGATTTAATGTTTTCATCGCCCAACATTATAGTGAACTTGACTCAAAATAAAATACAGCATATCCCTTTATACGATGCTAAACATATAAAAGAGGGAATTCGTACTAAAAGAAATCGTACCGTAAAAATATTAATGGAAAATAATCCATTAAATTGTGATCGTGAAATGTACGATTTTCTATGTTATGGAGACAAAATGCACAACGTTCAAAGCTATTTTCAGATAGAATTAGAAAATTTAATTTGTCACAGTCCGAAAGAATTGGAAAAAGTACGAATATGTTCTAGAAATATATCGGAAATAAATTTTAATAATTTTTATTCGTTTGACACAACAGTGATTATCAACATTAGTGCAGCAATTGCTCTTATTGCATTAATTATTGGTATTTTGTGTTACAAATATCAAACACATATTAAGATATGGCTGTTCAAGTGGTGTTTACGGTTTACAGCGAGAGAGAAATTGAATAACGACGTATCGTACGAGGTATGCTTATGCACTTCTCGCAGGAAAATCACAATTTTATAACAAAGGACGAAGTGGACGAAGTGAAATCAAGTGAAGAACGAAGTGAAATCAAAAAATAACTCGATTCCATTCTAATTGTGTCTTCATTATCGAGATTGGTTAGCAAGCGAATAGATACCAAACAATATTGCTAGATCTGTGGAGAATTCTAGACGAACGACAGTGGTGCTGTTGCCAAATTTCTTGGAGATCGTCTGGAGAAGAATAGATTTTCGGGCTGCTCATCGTCAAGCGTTGAACGAAGGTCGGACGCGAGTGATACTGATCTTGTATGATTACATCAAACACACAGATGATTTGGATTCTGAACTGAAAGCGTACATATCTACACGTACGTTCAATGGGGAGATCCTTGCGATAAAAGATACGCGCTGCCGCTTCAATCCGGACGATAAGTAGTTCTGCCTGAAGGAAAGTTCTAGAGAATTATAAATTGTAAACAATAATAAAAAACTTAATCTTTGTATTTCCCAAGACATTTGCGATCACTCTTGCGATCGTGAATTGATTTTTAGCAAAAGAATTTGATATAATTATAGTATAATTAGAATAATGAAATTGATACAATTGCAAATAAAAAATTATTTTCTATAATACCAAAAAGGAGAAGACAGCGAGTGAAAATGATAAATAATATAAGATTATCACCAACAATAGAATGTATTAACTTACTTTATCATGCATACTTCGTAAGATAATTTATTCATCGGTTTGTTACAATATTAAAAATAAAGTACTATCCCATACTTGTACAATCTAAAACAAATTTTAATACAACTTCGCTACGCATGCAGAAGATCGTCGTCACTGTCCGTTTGGCATTGTGTAGGATCTGAAGCATCGAGCAAAAGTCTCGCTTCCTCGCTGGTGTCAACCTGTCATAAGAAGTAGCATATATTGAACGTATGTATAGTTCCTAATAAATATATAACGTATTTGCATAAATATTAAAGGTGAAAAGGGATATCGTACCCTACAATACTGGACCCGACCTGCACCTCTTCTGAAACTAAGCGAATCTATCCAAGAGCGAAAGCACGCTCTTTTTTCTGGCTTACGGAAATAAATTAAAGCGGCTAGCACCGCGATCACAGTTAGTACTACGCCAGTTACTGTTCCAGCTGGAAACACAATTCATCGTGAGATCGTTATAGTAAAATGTGGAAACTAATTATATAAAAAAACAAAAATTGTGATCGTAGAAATTATTTCTAGCAAAATATCTTCACCAATAAAATAAAATGAAATTGATTTTGTTCTCATATATTGCTTTACTTAACGTTTAAGTATTTTAGTCAAAACTGTCTTGCCACTTAATTTGTCTTAATTGAATGTTGCTTTATATATTAATGTAACATGTCTCATTTTTAAAATTGAATATTCCAAAAATCTACCGTGACTAGGAGAAAGTTCCTCCAATATCTTGGAGGATGAAGCTGCTTCTCGATCCGCGACTTGAGAATTAGCATGTTTTGCACAGATTATCTCAGTGTGCCACTCAAATTCCGCGCTGCATGGCGATTCCTGAAATAAAAAAGAAGAAAAGAGTCATAATTGAATTAAATATAAATAAGCTAGAAATTTATAAAAATGATACGTTGCATCTAAACGCGTGTATGTCAAAACAATATATGTGATTGATAAGATCGCCGCAACTCCACTTAATTGCTTGACCTAATTGATTCTGGGAGAACCCAGTAATATGTATAATATGCATAAAACGAGACATACTGCATATTTAATTTCACTTACCAATAGCAGTTTTGGTGCACCAATGCCTATAGATTCATTACATATAAATCTTACTTCAGACGTATAGAAATCTATGAAAATAAAATGTCACATATGTACAATTAAGAAAATAAATCATAAGTACATTAATGAAATGCAGAGATCACAACTTACTGTTACGACATTTACTGCCATTCATATATTTAAGCTTTACATCATCTCGACTGTAATCAAAAATTACACTCCCGAGCGATCCATAACCGTTGTTCCCATAACATATCGCAGAACTGTTGCAGTATTTTTCCCCGCCACAAATGCTTATACCATACTCTTTACCTTGTTTGCTTTTCACCTATAACATCATTTTTGATCAGAAAATTTGAAGTTTATTTATTCTTAACAAGTCAGTAATTATGTAATGCTTTTTATATTCAAGATACTTCACATTCCTTTGTAAGGCTTTAAAACTCACGTAGTGTATCTTCTGCGTTTTGTATAATAAAGAAAGATCATATTCATAAGAAAGGAAACCATCCCTTATTGTACACGGTGATGTCCAGCTTCCTATCACAGCTCCACATGCTTTACTAGTGTTCCATTCAAACACGTAAGTACAATCAACATAACGTTTATACACTGGAAGTTCCTAAAAATGTAAAAATGTTTTGAATTAAATAAGAAAATGTATCATTAGAATTAAAATTTCTGGGAGATGCTGAGTATCGTTACCCGATTGTTATTATCACAAACAAATGTAAAGTTTGAAGATATCAATTTAGCTGGATTCTCTGGACACTCCGATCCACCGGTATAACGTAATACCGTTTGTATATCTTTGTTTAATGTAGGACTCTTCTCGGGAAATCCCAAACTCTGTGTAGTTATTTAAATCAGAGTATATAATATAATAAAAATTTATATAACCACATTTTCAAAAGTGATAATTATCCAAATATAGAACATTTGTACTCACAATTTCGTTGATATACTCATTCTTGGAGTTCACCGTAACTTTACAAGCAGCACTACCGTGTGCACACGTGAGACCTGGAGTAGGAACCAGTGGTCGGCATATATTTATGTGAAATTCGGTACCGTTGGCTTTTACAACATAGTTTCTTGTCGATTGTATAAGAGGATTTAAGTTAATCTCGTCGTCATTGTCGGTAGCGCATTTAATCTACACGAAAAAGAAATTTGTTTATTCGTTGTGTCAAAAAAAAAAAATAATGCGAAATTAAATGTACATGCATATTATTTATTGAATTAACATTAATATAAAATAGAAACATGTTAGAATACTTACTCTTTTTTCACAAACTAGATCTAAATTCCAGTGTATGACAGTCTGACAAGGATACTCCTCCATAAGGATAGGTAGATTGGACGATCCTTCTGATCCGCAAAAAAATCCGATAACTGTATAATGACGCATTCCATTCTCGCATAAATCTCCATTAGTATAATTCAAATAAGGGCCGCCTTGCTGCCACATCAGATTAGAATTAGCTTGGCCCGATGATTTATTGTATTTCGTATTGCATATTCCTGAAGTAATCGATAAATGAAATTTAGATGCATTACTATAATAATATATATTATATATTTTGTCATTGATAAAATATAGTACCGGTTTCAACTCCACATGTGTTATCCGCAAGCGCTCCGCATAATCTAAATTTGTACTTTGTACCGCTTGCATTAGCAACAAAAGCCGTTGTAGTAAAGTCTTGGTTCATTAATGATTGCAAGTTATATCTGCAAATTACAAGACATGCAGTTAAATCATAGATGTGTTGCATATTTATCAATATTAATCATATAACATTAAGAATTGTTCTTACGTAAAATTCGTAACTGGATTCGTAACGGAACAATTGCCTGCTGTTTTCGCACTATAATTACGCAGAGACTCAATACTGCATGCTGCAGCAGTGTTCCATATCAATTGATAATTACAATTTTCTTCTCCTCCAACATATTCCGGAATAGTCTTCTGATAATAATATTATAAATTATAATAAATTACAGTAAAATAATTAATGTATATGATACATAATACATATATGTAAATTATTATTATTATTGATATTATACCGTAGATTTATAATCACATATAAATGTAATAGTTGTTTTAACATGTGGGGTTGTAATATTTTTTAGAACACATAATGCACCGTCCTGATATTCTATTTGTAACGTCCCATTCACAAAGGAGAGAGGTTTGTGCACTTCTCCTAAACTTGAATATCTGAAATAGAACAAAAAAGAACAAATAGAAATCTATCTTCAAATAAAAAAACTGTCATACTATTGCCAAAAAATTATAATTGTGTTATATTTATATCTACAATGAAAAGCTACATTTGTGTTGTACAAAAGATACTTGCCTGTTAAGTTTTGTAGGATCATTTAAGCAAGCACCTGATTTAATTGGACACAAAGCGTTGGGTAGACGTACTACAGATTGACAAACATTCAATACAATCTTAGGCAATCTCGTTTCATTCCTCATAGAGATTACATAATTTTCCGAAGATCTTGTTAAAGGACTCAGATCAAAATGATGACCATCCTTGACAACTGTACAATTTGTTTGAGTTCTGGGCGTACAAGCTAATGCCGTCTTCCAGCTCATGTGTATGTCACATTGCTTTTCTGCCTGCACACAAATATTTTTATTATATATAAGATTTATATTATTATATACCTAAGCTAATTACTTACGTATGGAAATAATTCAGGACGTGAATTATTTTCTGCATTGTAATCACAATGCACAATAATTTGCACTGTATATTTAACGTCAGGTGTACAATTGTCACCAGTGAACTTAAATAATATTCTTCCAGGTGTATTATCTACCACTGGAGGGAACTTTCCTATTTATGTGAGTAAAATCAATTCCTTTTAGAGATTTCTTTCAGATTTCATAGTAATGCCATGAACAAAATGTACTTTAATCTATAACATTACCTATTCCTTTCTCTGTATTGTTTCTTATTAGACATATTGCATATCCATCTTCACCATTACACTTCTTTATTAATGAAGAACATAATTGCATACGGATACTTTTATTAGAATCATGGTGAATAATGATATCCTCCTTACTTGATGATAATTTTGTTAATTTGTATACAAAACTTGATTTCGGTTCAGTTACCTCACAGTAAGAGGCGAAAGACAGTTTTGTTAAAACCTGCAACAAAAATACACAGTTTACAATTTTAACAATCTAATTAAGCATTTTACTAAACAAAATAAAAAATGCCATTCCTTAAACAAATATCAATGATGGGACTTAATGATTCAATCAATGACAGGTGTATTGTTCTTAAGTAAATTCCTTGCTTCTATCAAAATATGAAAATTATATTACAAATTAATACAAAAGTAGATTTAAATAAAAGAATGAAAACACAGTTAAATGTATAATACGTACTGTTGAGGCGATAATAACCGATAAAAAGTGAAGAAAGACGATTCCGTTCAATTTTGACATTGCTATGGAACCAAACTCCGCACATTACATTATGTTTATCGTGATTGTTCGCAACATAAAGTGTAGAACAAAGACGATGAAGGTATCATCGATAAGTCCCGGTGACAAGTTCGAATCACATGCGATATGACACAGCAACAGCGCAGTAAGGAGGGGACGGTACCATGTTTTTTTCTCTTGTAGCGTCGCTGTCAGCTGCTATCAGAGCCAGTGACGCCAGATTTGAGACGCAATAGCAAGCAGCATGACGGACGAAATACCGCACACATGAGCAAGTCACGTATGTAACACTGGAAAAGAACAGACATACTATTTCTGTCTCCTTTCTTACCGAATCGCTTGGTTGCATTCATAGTTAATAACTAACATATATTTTACATATGTAATATTACATTATACATAAATTATATGCGTAATATATATATATGGACGTCTTATAGACTGAAAAAGACACTTTTAGGACGTCCTAAAAACGTCCTAAAAAGGACGTTGTTTTTTTTCATTTCTATAATGATTAGCATTTTGAATTTTGCAACAAAAAACTTGCCAAAAATTTTAAAAGAGACGTTTTAATTATTTAAGTATTTTACGAACATCCTAACACTGTCAAAAGTAGCCCTGAAGCGAAAATAAGCATGTAGAAAGGTTATGGTTATCCGTTGGAACGGCTAGAAACGTTCCATTTTAGTCGGAATTGAAAAATTGTTAACAGGAGCGCACGATGCTCGAGGAGCTCTCTCGAATAGACGGAGGTGTGTCCTAGCGGTCCCCGAGCTCGGCAGTGGGGAGCCCTCTTTGGATTGGCTGTTACTTTGCATGGCTGCTATATGGAGGAG